CCATGAGCAAGACCTTGGTGACCGTCTTGGTGCAAAATTTTGTTAATGTTAATTTGTTGTTAATTTAAAATGACATTACTCAGAATTCTAAACTACTGGAATGAATTATACAATTGAAGCTGCTTTGGTCTATAAAACATTTTTTACTTTTATTTACAACATATTGATTAATTTAATTTAATATTGTTTACTGTGCTATCTTCCTATTTAATTACTTACAAAAAAGGAGCAGTAAAGAGTGGCAAACTTAAGATGTGTTAGCTTAACGTTTTTGCTACGCTGTCATACCGGAGCACTCCTGTGTGCAACTGTTGCCATTCAGCTCGCGCCACCGTTACGTATGCCTGTAGATGCATCCGCGTGCTCAGGAAACAGCACGCGCGAGGACTGGAGAGGGACAAGAATTAGCATACTTCTAAAAGCTAATAACGAAGAAGCTTTTTCGCGCTGTCTTTTAAGATTTCTTACACACGAAGAATCAGAATGCGACAGCTGGGAAACTCAGAGGAGGGCTGGCTGTACCCATGTGCTGTTAATCTTCTCCCCCCACTGTATTTACTGTTGTTTGGAGGGAATTAAAAGGACTGTTTTTGCCCTGTGTGTTTGGACACAGAACGTAAATCTGCTGCGTTGCTGGTTAACACACATATTAAAGGCCTTTATGGAATTTTAACCCCAAGGACTTTTAAGGTTAAGATAACAAGTGAAAACCACACAAGTCGTTCAAAAAATATCGCGGGGGCAAGCGAGTCAGAATGGGGGGGCTGGTGTGAGGTGAGGTCGCCGTGCTTGGTGGGTAACTGCGGGTGCCACTCACCTGATGCAGAGGCTTCAAACTGCCGCTTTCAGGATGCCTTCATCAAATAAATCCTCGGATACAGCCCGCGGTGCTGCTTCAAAACGAGACGACTGTATTATAGGTCAGTCATAACAGTTCTAGCGCAAAATAAGCCGCCGACTTGTTCCATGTAGTTGGAGCTTTATCGGGATGTTTAACCGGTCCCGGCAGCCTCAGCCGTTAAACCCCGACTACCGGCAGCAACAGCTGAGTCCTTATGTCTCCGGACTGGATAAAGACTTAAATCTTAGACAGGTTCGTGGCTGCGTCGCCACACAACAGCGTCAGTGTCGTTAATAGCAGCGGGTCTGGATTACTGTGACCAGCAGGCAGCGACACACAGTCGGGGGGGGGAGGCAGAACCGCGGCGGCCTCGACAGCAGGAGCACGGAGAGCCAGCCGGCACTCCGCTATAGACCGGCTGCTTCAAAACGCCTTCCGAGCGTTAACTATAGTGTATATCCCTTCCACCGAGGTACTCCGGTATCTTCCAGGTCCTGCTTGTGTCTGAGTTTTCGGCCTCAACACAGCAGCTCTTTCTTCCTGACAAGCAGCCAGCGTCCAATCACAGCGCTGCATACAGAGAGGGGACGGAGGATAAGAAGGAGTGGATCATAGCGGACTGGAGTTAGGACCGGTGGCCTGAGAACCTGAAGCAGGGCTGGATAAAGCCACTATTTTACCCTGGGGGTTAACTTTAACTACTTTTGGGCCCCTGTGTTCCCCAACTCAGTTTTGTATGGAAGCCCATTTCTGCCAGTGTGACGTTAAAATAAATAAATAAATAGATTGTGTAAGTCATTATAGTGAGAAACTTTCTCACTATAATGACTAGCATCTCAAAATATTGACTAATTATTTTCAAAATATTGACTAATTATTTTCAAAATATTGAGAGTTTCTTGTTATTTTGATACCAAATCCAAAATGCTTCCATAATTTGGATATTGGTTGATTAAATGCACATTTATTTTAATTCCACTGTGTAACATTTAGGATGATCTATTGTCAGAAATAGAATATAATGGACTTCCGGTTTGCATCCAGTGAGGGAGGACATGCAAGCGTGAGGTCCGCAGGCGTTCCTCGACAGTTACTTTTATTTTTCGTGATAACCATGGTACTAAATATCTAACGTTAGAAAATAATTGTTTATTTATAGTGGCGCATGGCACAGTATAACCTAAGGGGTCTTAAGGATATTACACCTTTGTCTAAACGAACAGCCAGGCCCGCACACACAACCAAAATGGCGGCCGGCTCTCCTAAAGGTGGAAGCCCTACTCTTGATGCAGTGATGGCAGCTATTCAGGAAAGCAAGGAAGAGATATCAAGACAGTTAGATGCTAAAACAACTTCCATCCAGTCCTCACTCTCTAAAATTGAAACGGCGATGTCAACTTTAGCTGACCAAGTCGAAGAAATAGAGGGACGCATATCAGCAAATGAGGACAACATTAAAGATGCCACCACGCACATTGGCACACTGGTGAAGGAGGTACAGTCCCTCAAAGACAAAGTGGACGATTTAGAGAACAGGAGCCGGCGTAACAACATCCGCATAATCGGCCTCCCCGAGGAGGCTGAAGGCCAGGATGCTGCAGGATTTTTGGAGCAAGTCATACTGAAAATCCTCGGTATCGAAAACTTTCCTACCCCCATTACCTGCGAGAGAGCTTACTGCCTGGGAAAGCCCCCCCGCCTGGCAGAGGAGATGCGCTGAGGCCGAGACCCATGATCGCAAAGCTCCTCAACTTTAAGAACAAGGAGAAAATAATGCGCCTCGCCAGACAAAAGGGAGAGATTCACTACGAAAACAGCATCTTACATCTTCCCAGACTGGGGACCCAGTCTGCAATGCCTTAAAGACGCCTTTAAGGATGTAAAAAAGAGCCTTTGGGAAAGAGGAATTACTTATTCCCTGCATCATCCAACTAAACTACGGATTACGCATGAGGGCAACATCAGGTGGTTTGCATCACCTTCCGCAGCGGCGGACTTTTTGAAAACTATTGACAATAACAACTGACCGAGCAGCTGAGATGTCACAACAGTATATGCACCAGAGAACTCCCACCTGGCTGCTCCACCTGTACTGCTGTGACGCTGAGGGGAGAATACGTGTAAGTTAATATACGGATTACAAAGAGGGCTCATACAAAACTTTTGAGATATCTGTTTGCTACTGAGTGGGATAGAAATTAACGTTTTAAGAGCCCCGCTCAATATCCACACTGTTTACAATGTCTTTGTTCAGAAGCGGTGACTAATGGACAGTCTGAACTCGTGTAAAGCTGTCTATCGTAACACAAAATGACTCTGGCTAGATATGTGTTTAATCCCTGCACTTCATCTGTTCTGTTCCTGGTCCCACTTCAGACATGTGGATAAAAGACGGTCCCACTCCCGTTTCCGGGTGGACATTTAGACTTTTGTTTAATACAGTAGTAACTAAAATAGTAACTGTATCCATCTGACCCTCTGAAACATGGTAACTTTATTTTGAGTAGCAGGAAAATTATTATTATAACAATGGTAATTATTATTATTATTATTACTATTGTTATTATTATTACTATAATTATTTTTATTATTATTTATTTATATTTTTCTTTTTCACTCCCCTTATTTCTCATGTTCAACAACATTTTTTTTACTTTGACCACCCTTCTTAGTTATTTATTGGCTGTTGGTGATTTTGCTAATATTATAATAATTATTATTATTTAATTTATTTATCTTTTTACTTGTGTACCTCAGTGGTATTATTTACTTATTTATTTTCTTTATTTCAGAAAAATATATTAGGGGAACAAGGGAGCATAGATTACCAACATGGGTCAGATAATTATTTAACTCTGTTCCCCTTCTACATGGCATTCCCATTATAAGCCACTGGATTATGTTATACTTCAAGTCTACTTCACGCTGAGCTACCAAATCTCGTGTTCATGCCCTAAATTCTAATAATTTTTTATTTCTTTTTTCGATACATAACTGGTTCTTAGAATTTGCTCCATGGTTTGATGCTTAATATATCGTTTTTCTAACTGAGAGTAGAGAGTTACCTACCCAATTGGGATGTTTAGTGTTAAGGGTACCAATGGGTGGGTCTCATACGGGAGTTTGGTACGGTTTTCACCTATAAGCATTGTTACTCACCTAACTTTCATTTTATATGTAAGCACTAAGGCTCCCAACAGTTGCATCTGTTATTAAGTTAGCCAACTAAACTTAATTTCTTTGAATGTCAGGGGAATCAATTCTCCAATTAAGAGGAGAAAAATATTGACGTACTTAAAGAGACAGTCCATTGATGTTTCATTTATTCAAGAAACTCACCTTACCGATGCAGAACACATCAAACTAAGGAGAGACTGGGTGGGACACGTCTACCACTCATCATTC